CCTTACCTCACAAGCTTAATTCATTAGTACTTTAAAGAGCTTTGAACACTGACTGCAGTATACTATGGAAACGTTCTGTATTGTCAGAGTATTAAATAGAGCTCTTTATATCCAGGAAACAGCAATCACTCTTTGCAAGTCTTATAATAGGGGAGAGAGTTCACATATTTTAAAACATCCGCACTGCAAGCAGTAGGTGAACTCAGTGAAGTTTTTGACAAACCTAAAGCCTAGAGAGTTCAAAGTTAGAGAAAAAGAATGATAAAGAATCTCTAAAGTTGCCAGATACGTAACAAAGTTTTACATGTCCAAGAAGTGCCAGAAACTATTACTGGAAACAGGATACAAGGACTGAGTAAATACAGACCAGATTTTCCATCTGTGTTCAACGTGTCATGTCACAACATGGAAATACCTGGCACCACTACAGAATCCCACCAACCATAAAACAAGTTTTTCATCTGGAAATCAACAGAACATGAGGAAAAAATACTATATACCACAGCCACATCATTTAATTCCCTTCAGCTTTAGCACTTCTGTGAAGCTGATAAGATAACCCAGATAAATAACTGTGTCAAGTTTTGAAAACACTTAGAAAAAGAACCAGAAAGATTTTATACCTAACTGAGTGATGAGCCTTTGAAGCAGTGCTACTCCTATATATGAAGATAAATCAAAATAAAGTTGGTTTTAATGAAAATCCATTCAGTTAGAAAAACATCAAGAAGATCTGCTATGCTGAGGATACTCAGACCTGATGTTAACCTAAGCAAGGATCTGTGATTTTATTTCATGGTTTTTATGCACAGCATCGGTTTCTGAGTGTCTCTAGAGATGTCCAGCTGTAATGTCATGTTCCAGTAAATGTGTTCAAGAACATAGCCCATTGCCTCTACTGGGCCAAGAACATTTCCTCCACTGCTCTGCAAATGGCTGCCTTTGAAGAATCCCAATCCCTTATAGTTTGGGGGGGGGGGGGGGGGGGGGGGGGGGATAGGCAGACAGTCTCCACAATCATCAGCACTATAATTAATGTAAATAAAATGCTTTCTTTTAAAACACAATCTCTGCAGAAAGCACTAGAACGGAGTGTGACAGCCTGAGGATTAGCAAACACTGCAAACCAGTAAAATGATATGGCAAGATAGCAAAAGCATTATCGTCTGTATGACTGGAAGATTTTATTATCCATTCACGAATGACTAAGACATCATTAGAAGAACAACAATTAAAAATGCGTTGGAAGTTACATTCCTGGAATTGAATCCTTAATGATTTCTTAGTTTCCAGGAAAATAGAACACAACAAACAGAAATCCTCTGCCTTCCATAAGCTTTATCAAAAGTCATTCCAGCTCATGCTCTGCAGTCTTAATTTTGCTTTAAAGGTGTGAAATTAATCTTTGAAGCAGAAACTAAAAATGCAAAACAAAGATAAGGAATACTCAGGACCAGCTCAAAAAGAAATTTCAATCCCACTCAAAGCTGAAATGGAATATACTTTCTTAAACAGCAGTACTTCAGTGAAGACAAGTACATTAGCTCCATTATCTGCGTGCCTCATCTACAGACAGGGATGCCTCCACTTTGATGTAAGAACCCAAGAGCCACACTAGCTCTGTGCTGCAGGCAGGATACTAGGCTGAGGGACAAATTGCAGATCCTTAAGAAGAGTGAGAAAACTACAAAGCAGTAAAAGAAAGAGCAAATTAGGAACAGAACGAATCATTCCTGCCCAACTATACCAATCATCCCAGCTTCTGGTAATCACTGGCTTAGGGACTCAGTGTGCTAGAGGTTTAGTAGCCTGCAGTGGATCCACTCCCTGTGGATTCATATAAATCCCGTTTATAGCTTCAGCCTGCACAATACCATGCTGCAGTGAATTTTACAATTCTGAACTGAAAAAAAATAAGAATACTTCATTTATTTTAAAACTAACTTAATTTCATGAGGTCTTGCATTATGAAGCACAACATTCATTTTCCATTATTAGCCATGATTTCTTATAAAATAACACAGAAGTGTTTAGAACTCTGTGCTTCCTTGCAGGTTCCACACCTCTGACAACCACTGCTGCCTTTCCCCATGCATTTCCTAGTTCAGCCCTGTTAGATTTGGGATACAATGATGATAACTGAAGGCAAACAAGATGCCATAATAATACAATAAAGTTTTGTGCTTGTTCTCAATTCCTTTCTTATTACTTTGTTTGCATTTTTGCCCAGCAGTGATCATTATGATCCTCTTCTCAAAACCAGCCAGAATTATTCTAAAATCAAGTGGCTAAACAAAAGCCTGTGATGTGTATATTTTTTCCTCTTAATCTGTATTTCTGTGTAATTACTGACACCCAAGTTTCATTTATATTATTCCATTTTCATTCATTTTTACCTCAGCTAGAAGTCCAAAGGAAGAAAAAAGCAATTCCAGAACAAACATCACTGATGGCATTGATCAGTAGCCTCCAGTCATTAGCAAAACGCTTTGATGCTGCCTTGCCAGGCTATGAATACAGCCAAAACCTGTCTTCTGCCTGATCTCCTACCCCTGTGCTGGCAGGAAGAGGCAAAATGTAACTGAGCCAGGAAGGATTAAAACACCAGTGTGTGCCTGTGCATACTGCCTGTGACTACATGAGTAGATGGCCAACGGACAATTTCAGAAGACTCTTTTTTCCCTGAAATGTAGTGGCTACTCTCCATTTTTTGCTTACATGCTTAACAACCACCCTTTCATTTGCCCAGCATATCATTGCACATGCACAAAGCAGCTGATGCAGAGCCAGATACAGATACATACACATGAACGCAGAGCAGCATGGTGTTTGCCCACACTCAAGTGTCCACCTTGTTGTATTTGCACAGTCAATAATGGAACACATCAGTGCTGCAGTGCCAGAAATAATACTTGCCAACTGCACAGCACGTGGAAAAAAATTACCAATGAGAACTGTGATTTTAGTGACTTTGGGATCAAATGGATTAAAGCAAGAAGGAAGAACAATGTCATCTGGTGAAATCTAATGAGGAATTTGGGGAAAGCAGTTATAGTAATCCATTCATAAAAGATAGACCAACTCATGGTTTGTACTTACAGTAAAAACGTTATTTGTTAGGACATTAAAAATACATTACTTAATTTTAATACTCTACCTAAAGTATCTTCACTTCGTTTGTCATTTTGTCTTTGAGAACAGATCAACAAAGCAGAACCTTTAGATGAAGTTGTATAGAAGCAACTATGTTCTACAGGCTACTGTAATAATGTACGCTCAGATTTACAGTGCTGTAAGCTGTATACAGCAGAGAACAATAGCACTGCTATAGAGCACCTCTGTTATTTAGTAAAGGTTAACAAGACATGCATCCTCTTGCTAGCACTGAATGTCATAAAATAGGTTTACCAACCAGCATGGCACTGGAGGAGACTTCAATAAAAAAGTTAAGAAAAAGCAACAACAAATATGCATTGTTACCAGCCATCAGAGTATTTAAAAAGCAATGAAACCTTATGTGCTCCAGGTTGAGGAAGAAAATGGGGACAAAAGCCAAGGAAAATAACTTGCTGTGCTTTAAAAGTTAAAAAATAAAACGCCCCCCAAAACTGAGCTAGCAGTGACACAGGCAAGATGCACAGAAGTGAGTTCAATAGGATGACTGAATACTCAGTGAAGGCTGTTTACTACAGACCACTCTACCTCACGCTCTCAAGAGTTCAGAGGCAAAAATATCGACTTGAATGTGAGCTCAATTTTAATCCTAAATACCAATGGTGCATTACTCTATTAAATATCCTAGAGAGTATTAAAAAGTGCAGCTTGTTTAAACAGGCAACTTAGAATACTTTTTGTGTATTCTGTACGTAGGAGAAAATTTCTGCTGATTTTCTTCTTTGGCCACGCAAATCCTTCAGCCAGAATAGGGTAGAGGCTTAAATGAATTAGCTGTGGCAGGATTTTAATACCTGCATCTGTTAATGGATGAGGTATACAAGCTGCCCAGCTGAGAAGAGAATGTAGAATAACTGTGCTGATGACACTGCACCTATATCACAACAAAGAATCATTCCCTCTTCAAGGTTTTATTTTCCTGTATTTCTCCAAGGTTTTTTCTTTGATTTTAAAGAGTAGTTTTACTGGGTGTCAAACCTTACCTTGGACCCAGAAAGAGAAGAAAACTTCAGGGGCATTCCCTAAACATGACTTCCAATGCCTGCAACACTGGTAATGGAACATGCATCTGAGACATGGAAGGCTTTATTTGATAATAACAAATCTGGACTGTTGAATAGCTGTGAAGACAGCTTCTTTTATTGAATCAAGCCCTAAGGTGATCATATTTTTAGTATAACAATGAGCCAATTTAGTCCCGCTCTGGGATAATTCCCTGGGTTATGGGATTTATTTATTTTTTTCTTTTAATGGTACCATATATGCTGCATCTGGCACAGAAGAGTATTAAAAGAGATGTAAACAAATTGTTGTATGTTAACAAAACAGCCTGAAGGAAAACAAAACAAAACAAAACAAAACAACCTACAAGAAGAAAAACAACCTATTACAGAACAATGATACTGTCAAGTTATTTTACCTTTTGGGGACAAAATCTAAAGAAAACAAAACCAAACCAAGCCAAGAACTACCCTAGAACCCTCTTGCGTGACCAAGTCAGTTTGGTCAGATGCGTTTCTTTGCATCATTGATATTGGAATCATTCTACATCCTTAGCAAGAACAAGCAATTTACAGAAACATGAATCATGAAAGTCATAAAATTCTGGTTTGTCATTTTAATTCGGTGTTTTTCAAATACGTAGATGTGTAAATTTATTAGCACTTTTTCTACAGAAATAAACTAAGAGCTACAGTAGCTCTACTGTAAATTAAATTACAGTACTCTTAAATTTAATGCTGCCTATTAACTAAAGCCATTTGATCTTCGTATTACAGTCTGCACAGTCACTGCTAAATGGATTTCAGGGCACAAACAGAACTTACCTTGGTAGTATATGTATGTCCATCAGAGCCACAGACAGGGCTTGCATGCATCATGGGGCAAGGCTTGCATTTCACTATGTTAGCTGGTCCAGTCCAGTGCTTCTGGGCCAAGTTTCCTTTCTTTTGTCGAATGCTGTAAAATAAGAGGCAGCAATTTTTTTGAACCTGCTTATGTGAAACAGAAGAATGAAAGCTTTTCTGAATAAAGCATAGCTTGGTTTTCAACACAGTATTTATTTAAAGCAAGAAAGTTTAGTATATCTCCTACTGATACTTCTATATAGCACATGGGAGTAGACTATCTTGATATCGTAAATTGGTACACAGTGTTAGATTAACAATATTTGGCAATTTTGATTTGTAACTACAAATGACTTCACTTCTAATTACAGCATTTTGTTAAACCACACTGCGCTCCTGGTGAGGCATGCAAGCAACACTAAACCAGGTTGTGTTTTCACTGAGTCTCCAATTCCATGCCTGCAAAGACACTCCTGCTGTAACCTACTGTCTGGTAGCTCCACAGGTGGCTAGCACTGCTCTCTTCTCTCTTTCAGGGAACAAAGTCCTTCAAGGCATTTATGAAAAGAAATTCTTGTTCAGGCAAAGTTCAAATTAAGACTAAGTATCAACAATTTAAAAGTGAAGTTGTTTCAAAACAACTGCTATTTATATTAGGTTATAAGAATGTACAGGTATAGATAAAAATCAAAGAACTCTGTACGTGCTGCAGCATTCTTCATATGCCAGGTCCAGAACAGCTGTTATTCCCAGAGCAGTCACAGTCCTGGTAGGAACACTGGAGTGACAGAGCATCCCCAATTCTACACATGCATTTGTACCACAGTCTACTCAATTATTACATTAAAAATAAGTATGAAGCGACATCTGCTCTACAGTCTTATTGGAAAACGTGCAATTGATTCTGATTAATGACTCATTTTCCTATAATAATGAACTACTTGGCTGCTACAACATTTACTAATTATCATCAGCATACTGTTGTAAGCTGATTAAAAGTTTGCTTTATAAACCACAAGTCAATGTTACAATGCAGAATCATTTTGGTCATGTGTACTTGTCTTTCACTTGAAAACATTTACAAGGGAAGGGATCACATCAGCTTTGCTGGAGACTTAAGAAAAATAACTGCCATCTGTTTCTATACCATAGTAAGAAAAGATATGATACAACAATTCAACTAGAAATTTACTTCAATGCACCGCTGAATGACTTTATCACAGTTCTAGAAAAATATATACAGATATATTTTAAAGCAATTTCGCTGCAGCTTGCAATTTGCTACACAATACTGACTGATGTAATGACACATTCAGCTGCTAAAATAATAGAAATTCTGTTCTTTCATCTCAGTTCAAGTTTTCTTCTACTATAACCTTTGTCACAATGATGACTAGTACTATATAGAAGCTCGTGTCCACAGAAGGAATCCAATCGTGATATCATAAACTATGAAAATAGAAGCCCTGTTTTAAAGACTAAATTCCCTTGGTTGTCTTGAAGAAGTTTTCTTAATCCATGAGCAGCTTCCCACCTTTTTTTTTTTTTTTTTTTTTTTTAAAAAAAAAACAGATGCTGAATGCTGCAGATGTAAGGTTGCTCATCTCTGAGTCTACAACTCTGCAGACATGTTATCCATGGTGCTGGGGCTGTACAAACCATTTCTTTAAGTTTTCCAGCAGTAACTTTTGCTTCTTCGTGTCTCCAACTAAGATGCAACAATTACCTTATTTTCTGGAACCATTTCAATTACATGCTTTTATTTATTTATTTTTCTTTCCAGCTTGACAAGAAAATTTGCTCATTCACTTTACTAATGGCCCTGCACTTCTAGAAGCATACAAACTGGGAGTGAAAGTATGGTGAAATGCAGTAGTGGATACTGATGAGCAGAGGCTGGAGAACGGAGACATGAAAGGTGCTGAGCTCTTCCTTTGGAGGCAGCAGGACGGATCACAATTCAAAGCAGCCTTTACCTTTCCACAGCCCTTGACTGCCACAATCTCAAAAGAAACTCATCTGTATGTAAAATCGTTCAAAGGAAGAAAGTTTGAGGCTATAGAAAAAACAGCTGAAGAAAGGCTAAACTTGAAATGTATGATTTAGTGCCTCTGTCAAAGCCATTAGCCACAAAGCATTCAGGATGGAGATGAGTGACTGAACTAACAAGCACCTCATCAAAATTAAATGCAGATTGAAGTTCTTGGCTAGACTGATGCCTAACAAATCACAGGATCTTGAGGCTTTGAGTGACATGCCTAAAATACATTACACAGCATTTGCGACCCAAGTTCTGTTCAGGCATTTCACACTACCCTAAAGAGAAAAGTCCCCTCCTGGCATGGCCACTTGGCCCTTTCTGCACAGACTTACAGCCCCCTCTTCATTTCCTTACTCACTCCTGCTTTGGCCACTTCAGGGTTTGTACTGCAAAGCCAAATTCTGATGTAAGACTTTTCTAGAACTAATGATGGTTTTTGCTCTCCCATCCCCACTTAAATTAATAAAGAAAAATTAATTTAAATTTGACCATTTCATGTCATTTCAGCAGCTCATCAAGTCTGGTGGCCCTTTCCACCACTTACTGGAGAGCAAAGAGAATAAACACAGCATTAGTGCTAAGCTCTGCTCCTGCTGCAGGTGCCTTGAATTCAACAGCAGTGAGAGCAGCACCTCCCCTTGTCTCTTAACTATAAAGGTTTCACCTGGACTTGATTCAAAGCATTTCATTTATATACCTGGAAGGGAACAGCATTAACACTGTTCTCTTCTCCCAAGCTGCTTCATCTTCAGGATCTTTTGATATTAAAAGGGAACTGATGCTCTCAGAGGAGTATTTAATAACAAGAACAATTCACAGCGGAGTATGTCTCAAAGCATTTTATTCTTTCCAAAGGAAAATACAAGTTAGCAATTTTAGTAGTCCTTTACATCAGGTGCGTAACGAGACAGGGGGTTACTGCAAGAAGTCTGCAGTGATTTTAACTTCTGGATTTATGATTTTGCTGGCATTGTAGTCTGGCAGCCATTTTGGTTGCAAGAAGCAATTTGGATTTCAAAAGCAAATTTATTCTTTTCAAGCTACAGTTTTGTCAGAAACAATAGCACAAAATGTCACTGTATTTGAAGCAAGTCAAACACCATTTTTGTCAGCTTGGTTGAGAGAGCAATAATTGAAAGTTGTAACTGGATGCCCAGATCTTCCCCCTCCCCTTCAATGCCAAAAACACAGGTAAGGACCCATTAGAGAGGACATCTTTTTTTCCAGAAGTAAGTGTGTATTTTTCTGGAGTGACATTTTAAGACAGGATAAGGCTTCTGGAAGCTGTTCAAGCCTATAACCCCTAACAACACATCAAACATCCAAACAAACAAATTAAAACCTAGACAAGAATATTGGCTGCCATAAGCAGACAGCCTGCAAATCCCTTCTCAATGGAAGGGCACATTCACACACTCTGGGAACATGTTTTACTATGCTAATCATCTTGTTTTAGAGTAAATATGTCAGGAGCAAGACAGGCCAAAACAAATTAAGCCTTTTTTTTTCCCTCCATGACAACTTAACCAACTTTAATCCTGCTTTAAGTCTCAGAGTCAAAAGGATCTACTACGAGTCATCGGAAAATAACCACTATGCAGAGAGAACAAGCTAAGCACTCCCCACTGGGGTAAGTATCTGCCACATTCATAAGGACAACTGAACCAAGTATTTCCAATAGTCTAGAAGAACATAGATGTGAATCTCTCGCTCAAGCATTAAGACTTATAGAAAGACATTGCCTGCTTTCACTTTTCAGACTGATGCACTGAAAAATATAGGATTCAAGGATTAGTTAAGTTTTACAGAACTTAACCTCTTAACGTTTTAACGTATAGGCAATTTTAGTGACTGAAAACATCCATACTTCAACACAGGGGGAATGCACACCAACACAGCTTCATTACTCATTATACAGACACAATACTTACCACATACTGAGAAAATACAGGAAAACCGTATCTTTTCTGCTTGCACAGGAACATGAAGAATGCAGCAGTTTCCAGACATCATCATCATCCTGACACCATTCACAGTAGCTCTGGATAGCCACACTGCACGTCCAAAGCCACAAAACCCACACTCCAGCCTGGGTCTTCTAAGTAAAGAGCTTTGGCTTCAGAAAAGCTCAGCTCTAGGAGACTTGGCTCTACCCGAGATTTTATTGCTTCCAGGTGTGCCCCAGGGAGCCAGAATCTAAACCCCAATTAGAGCTGATTTGTGCAACTGGCAGCCCTTCCCCAGCTGGCTGCCCTGGGGGATGCTAATGCTGGAGCCTCTTCCCACCTGGCTGGCGACTGGGGTTTGCTCCTGGCTAGCGGCACCAGCTCTTGGCACTGAGACAGTCAGCCAGAGGGGTTTGAACTCTGCCTTAGATTCAGCAAAAGTTTATCAAATTATATGCTTCAAACAAAAAATTTAGGTCAGAGTCATAATTAAAAAATAATAAAATATTAAAAAATTAGTTCAAATTCTCAGCATTTGACATGGGCTGTGCTGCTTATGAATCTCTCCATTTTTGCCTGTAACAAATCTCTCCAGGATGGCACAGAACAGTACATGTACCACAATAACCTGTGGTAAGGACGAGGACCAAAATCACAGAATCACAGACTATCCTGAGTTGTATCTCCTTTTTTCTGTTGAGGGAGTCTTTAGGTGAAGCTGTGGTGAATGCAGCACCAGGCAATGTATAAAGACATGACATTAATAATGGGGCCCTGTGAATTCGATACAGAATGTCTAAATCGAAAGTATCAGTTTTTGAGACAATAACTTATCAGAAAACATGGACATATTATGTTTTAATAAGCTGTACAATTTTCCTATATAAACTAATGACTATAATTGAAAAAAAATACAATTGAAAAATTATAACTTCATCTAAAATGGCAAATTGTATCACCTTTTTTTTTTTTTTTTTTCTTCAATTGAAGTGTCACATAACTGCCAGCTAAGGACAGCCAAAATATCAACAGATTATATAAGCAAGACCAAGCCTGTGCTTTTATGTAATTACATTTGATCTTCCAAGTGCAAATTCAATTCCAGCTGTCAATGAACTTTAATAT